TGAACTTCCTGCGGCTAACACCACCAACCTAGTTGATCAGATCATCCATCGGGGGGCCTGGTCTGTCAGCAGGACGCGAGGGCGTCGACCCCTCGGAACTTTGTCTAAGTAGACTCCGGGAACCATATCAAGAACAAAATTCACACACCAACTCATCCACTAAACACACCAACTCATCCACTAAACACACACACACACACACACACACACACACACACACACACACACACACACACACACACACACACACACACACACACACACACACACACACATACACACACAAACGTAGAGTTGTCAGGAAGAGGAACAGTCTGGAGAGTGATGTAGTGGAGGCAGGATGTATACATAGCTTTAAGAAGGGGTATGATAAGGATCATGGAGTATCGAGAGAGTGGACCTAGTAGTAACCAGTGAAGAGGCGGGGCCAAGAGCTATGATTCGACCCCTGCAACCACAGTTAGTGACTACACACACACATATACACACTCACCAACACACACACACACTAAACTAAACACAGAACTAAAGAACATTTTGGGATTGACAACAGAGACTGCTACCTCAGCCACAAATAAGGGGACTGTAGGGAAAGAAGGGGCACAACTGCATGGGGAAGCTATATCAGAGGAGACTGTAGTAAATGAAAGAGCTAAGCTATATGTGGAGGCCCTAACAGACAACAACAGAGCCCAAGGAAAGCCGAGAAGGGAAAATGACAGGCCACTGAGCCCAAGTACATTAGCCAGTGAAACTGAAGAAAGGAAAGCTGCAGTGCAGGAAACCAAATTAAATGAGGGGATACACAGGGATACGCAGTGGGAGAATGAAAGGGTGAGGTCAGTCTTTGTGTATGGGCTCCAGGAAGTTGAAGGGGAAACATATGAAGCAAGAAAACAAGGGAAAAAAAAAGCAATTGAAAGCATCATGAAAGCAATAGGAGAAGACATGACCCAGCTGGAAAATTTTCGGAGAATAGGGGGGTTTGTAAAAAAAGAACCCGGCCAGTGAAAGTGACCTTCAAGGCAGAAGCGACTCGGACCAGGATCCTGCAGAAGAAAGCACGATTAAGGGACATGCCGGCATACAGGAAGGTGTATCTCGACCGCGACAGAACACAAAAAGAAAGGCAGAAACTGAGAGAGATGGTACAAAGGCGAAAAGAGGAAAGAGAGGGGATGGAGAAGACAGACAGGAGATCCCAGAGCCAGGAAGATCAAATACAGCCTCCCTCACAACTTCCTATAGAAGCCTCTCAACCAGGTCAACCCCAGTGCAACCAAACACTCTAAATCAAAACACCCATGCCACATCCAATGCCCCCACCCACTACATTACAAACTCCACCCCCACAGCAACAACCCATAGTCCCTTACCAGGTCTCCCACTTCCCCAACCCCAATATACCTCCCAGACCACAGTCTTAGAAAAGAAGTTGAAGGTGTGGTATACAAATGCAGATGGAATAACAAACAAGTATGAGGAGTGGCACGAAAGAATCAAAGAGACATCCCCAGACATAATAGCGCTCACAGAAACAAAACTCACCAGAATAATAACAGATTCAATCTTTCCATCCAGATACCAAATCTTCAGGAAAGACAGGGGGAGGAGGAGTTGCACTGCTCATTAAAAACCAGTGGGATTTTGAGAAAATGGAAGGAATGGATGGCATGGGCGAAAGGGACTACTTAGTAGGAACAATCCAGCCTGAGGGACATAAGGTGATAATTGCAGTAATATACAACCCACCACAGAACTGCAGGAGGCCAAGAGAAGAATACGATGAGAGCAACAGAGCAATGATCGACACACTAGCCGAGGTGGCCAGGAGAGCACACATGGGGGGAGCAAAGTTACTAGTTATGGGTGATTTCAGTCACAAGGAGATTGACTGGGAAAACCTGGAGCCCCATGGGGGTCCCGAAACATGGAGAACCAAGATGATGGATGTGGTACTGGAAAACCTCATGCATCAACATGTTAGAGACACTACCAGAGAGAGAGAGGAGAGGATGAACCAGCAAGGCTGGACCTTGTATTCACCATGAGTAGTTCGGACATCGAGGGTATCATGTATGAAAGGCCCCTGGGAGCTAGTGATCATGTGGTTCTGTGCTTCGACTACATAGTTGAGCTCCAAGTGGAGAGAGTAGCAGGAATAGGCTGGGAAAAAACAAACTACAAAAGGGGGAACTACTCAGGCATGAGGAACTTCCTTCAAGACATTCAGTGGGAGAGGGAACTGACAGGAAAACCAGTACAAGAAATGATGGACTATGTAGCAACAAAATGCAAGGAGGCAGAGGAGAGGTTTGTTCCCAAGGGAAACATTAATAATGGGAAGAACAGAACGAGTCCTTGGTTCACCCAAAGGTGTAGGGAGGCAAAAACTAGGTGTACTAGAGAATGGAAAAGGTACAGAAGACAGAGAACTCAGGAAAATAAAGAAATCAGCCGAAGAGCCAGAAACGAATATGCACAGATAAGAAGGGAGGCTCAGAGACAGTATGAAAATGACATAGCAAAAAAGAAAAGGGACTGACCCAAGCTGTTGTACACCACATCAGGGGGAAAACAACATCAAGGCCCAGGAAATCAACTGAGAAGGGTGAGGGGGAAATTTCACAAGAAACGCCCCAAGAAGTATGTCAGGAGCTCAACAAAAGATTAAAGGGTTTTTTTCGGGGGAAAAGCAGTAGGACTCCAGAAATAAAGGGGGGGGGCACCCCAAAGTGCTGGATGGGGTCATATAACCAAGGAGGAGGGGAAAAGCTACTTCAAAACTTGACACCTCAAAGGGGGGTGGGCCCAGACAACATCTCCCAGGGGCCCTTTAAAGAGGGAGAAGAATTGGTGAGCCATTAAAAAGATCTTCAACACATCGTTGAAATGGGCAACTCCCGAGGTATGGAAAATGGCAAATGTGTCCATTTTAAAAGGGAACAGACAGAGGCCTAACTACAGCCCCTGTACACAAAAGGTAAAGCAAGGTCTGGAGAAGATATCAGGAGGAGAGTGGGGGCCCCCGGGAAAAACAAGGTAAATTACAACCACAGGGTTTTTCCAGGGAAGGAAAATCCGGGCACAAACCTACAGATTTTATGACAAGGTGACAGAATAGACAAAAAGGGAAAAGGGGGGGATCGACTCATATTTTTTGGGCGAAGAAGGCCTTTGCACGTTCCCCACAAGATTCTGCAAAAGCTGAGGATCGGGACACATAACAAAAGGCACTGCAATGGATCGAGAATACCTGACAGGGAGGCAAAACAGTCATGGTAGCGACGAGGTGTCAAATGGGGCCTGTACAAGCGGGGTTCCACAGGGGTCAGTCCTAGGACCTGTGCTGTTCTTGGAAATATGTGAACGACATAAGGAAGGGATTGACTCAGAAGTGTCCTTGTTTGCAGATGATGCGAAGTTAATGAAAAAGAATCAAATCGACGAGGATTCAGGCAGGACTACAAAGAGACCTGGACGGGCTACAAGCCTGGTCCAGCAACGGGCTCCTTGAATTTAACCCTGCTAAATGCAAAGTCATAAAGTTTGGGGGAAGGGCAAAGAAGACCGCAGACATAATATAGTTTAGATGGCCAAAGACTGCAAACCTCACTCAAGGAAAAAGTTTGGGGGTGAGCATAACACCGAGCATATCTCCTGAGGCGCACATCAATCAAAAACTGCTGCAGCATACGGACGCCTGGAAAAACCTACGGATAGCGTTCCGATACCTCAGTAAGGATTCGTTTAAGACTCTGTAAAACCATTTACGTCAGGCCCATACTGGAGTATGCAGCACCAGTTTGGAATCCACACCTAGTCAAGCACGTCAAGAAATTAGAGAAAGTGCAAAGGTTTGCAACAAGACTAGTCCCAGAGCTACGGGGTTTTGTCCTACGAAGAAAGGTTGGGTAAATCGGCCTGACGACACTGGAGGACAGGAGGGTCAGGGGAGACATGATAACGACAAAATAAAATACTGCGCGGAATAGACAAGGTGGACAAAGACGGATGTTCCAGAGAAGGGAAAACAGACACAAGAGGTCACAATTGGAAGTTGAAGACTCAGATGAATCAAAGGGATGTTAGGAAGTATTTCTTCAGTCATAGAGTAGTCAGGCCGTGGAATAGCCTAGAAAGTGACGTAGTGGAGGCGGGAACCATACATAGTTTTAAGGCGAGGTATGATAGAGCTCATGGGGCAGGGAGAGAGAGGACCTAGTAGCAATCAGCGAAGAGGCGGGGCCAGGAGCTGTGAATCGACCCCTGCAACCACAAATAGGTGAGTACAAATAGGTGAGTACACACACACACACGCACACCAGATCATTTACCCCGTCCAACCCACCCCAACCACTACCCGCATGCCCTGTTTCCTTGAGGCCGGAACCCACATCTCCGCCTCCTTACCGTAACACCCAGTTATCACAATGGTCCAGGACGCCAGCTCATGTACTGTGTGTTGGTACTGAACCCATAGTTCGATACTTGGCAATAGTCTCATTGCCTTTCTGAAAACTCGCAGTTAAGCCTGACAAATTTCCTTCTATGGTGTAAAGCCAATTTAGTGTGATAGAACATGCCAGGGAAAAACATTGTTATTGTTCACACGTGTAACTATTTATACTGTAAGGTAGCCGTATACTGCCGATGTGCTCAGTTTTGTATTAAAAATAAAAATCAGAGCTAGGTGCTGGAGCTGGTTGAACGAATTATGTATCCAGGTCATTGCTATATATGGAGGCTGTAAACGGAAGTAACGCATGTAAAGGAACTGAGTAGAGTATACATTGCTTTAACTCAATCCTGTAAAATACATCAGTGACGATTATTTATGAAAATATAGTCTGTTATATGCTGCCTCTTTGACACACACACACACACACACACACAACACACACACACACACACACACACACACACACACACGCAGGCTAGGGACTGAATGATAAACAACTTCACAAGCTCTTTCCTCACTCTCCTTGTTTTATCCGCAGGTGGTCGACGGCTGAGCTAAGCAGGGCCCCGGCGACCAAGGTAAGTCTCCAGCTCCTGGTCCCAAGCCTCTCTCATTTTCACACATTGTCCCACATCTGTTTTTGACAACATCCCCCCCCCCATCCCTGGTGGATACATTATGCACGAGACGTAAATTGCTATGTTGTTTCTTGTAGAGGGGCGAGTTCGTGTTTTTAAGAGGCTGGTACCCAGAGTGAAATGTCATTTGTTTTCTTTATTTAGCACATGGGAAAGATTGATAGCATAAGATCTTAGTTCCCAACAAGATCGTCTAATGAGGATTATCTCCCGTTTCGGTGGAGAACTGTCTGCTATAGTAGAGGCGCAACTTCCCTATAAATTCATGTTCGCCATTCATTTGTGTATCTGCTGAAGAAGACCCCAGAAGGGGGTCGAAATATACAGATCAATTAATCTTCTGAGCTTCTGCCACCAAATGGGTTATTACCGAGCACAATGGTTTAAGTTTTAGGGTCTTCCAGGGAGGTTCTTGGATTTCAAGGAACTGCACTTGTCAGCTGCTCCGCTGAACTAAACCTGATTACTTCCTATTCCCCAGGCGCTGCAAAATTCTTACGGGTTTAGCTCTTCCCCTAAATATAATACTAATTTAACTTTTAGATAAAGACCTCTAGTATAGCGACGTCTGGTGTACCGACCTTTGGTATAGTGACCTCTCATTCACTGACCTTTGGTATAGCAAAATTTATGAGATTGCGTCCTAACGACCTTTGTTATGAAGACCTCTGGTATAGTGACCCATGCTATATCACACTCTGATAAAGCGTATAAGAGTTTCTCTTAGGAATTGATCCTATTCCTCTCCTTTACTTTTCATTTTATTTTTTCTTCATTACTGTTTTCTGTTTTAAATTTACCTCTTCTTGTCTTTCATTGTTCTCAGACTTCCTTCAATGTTTCTCCTTAATCACTCTGTTATGCCTTTTACTCTTACGTGTCTACATCCTAGTCCTTATTCTCTCTCTGTTTCTCAATATCTCTATACCCGCTTCTCATCCTTCTCATTATCGCCTCTTATTCCTATTTTCTCTTGTTCTTCCTTCATGCCAATTCCTTATCGGCTTCTTGTGCTCCACATTGTTTTCTTTTCATTGTCTCTTCCTAATTCCCATTATCTTTTGCAATTACTTTTCGTTATTTCCGCTTAGCTTCCCTTTTCCAGATATCTCATTATATCACCTCTCATGTTTTTCATTCTCTCCTACTTCTCCGTTGCTTTGTCTCTTCCTTCTCTTGTTCCTCCTCCTTCCACCCTCCGCCGCCCGCATTCATCTTTCTCACTATGTCCTCTGAGAGATAATGCGGGTGTGTACAGTTGCTTCTCTTCTCTTACAACACCAGACTCACCACCACAGCGCTTCTGCAACACGCTCCACTAAGTGTGTCACCCACATTCTCTCTCTCTCTCTCTCTCTCTCTCTCTCTCTCTCTCTCTCTCTCTCTCTCTCTCTCTCTCTCTCTCTCTCTCTCTCTCTCTCTCTCTCCAAACACTCTCCACCAGCACACTCTTCCCTACTAATGCCTCCCCATCATCCTCCATCAATAGTGGATATCCCTCTTCAATCTCTCCCCAACACCCTTCTTGAAATATAGTTCCTCTTCCCCATCAATGTTTCCCCAACGACTTTCATCAGCAAATGTCTCAAGCTCAACAATCACTTTCCATAAATAATTACGAAAAAACCACTGTCTCCAACACTCTCCCAGCTAACCCCCCCAACTCCTTAAAGGCTCCCTCAGTCGCTGCCCTCCCTCAAAGTCATCGCCTCGTCTGTCCTCGATAATCCCTTCTCAAAGTCTCCCCCCCCCCCCTCTCCTATACTTTCCGAACATGCACTCTCCCTCTGCCCCCCCACCTCATCGCCTCTTCTCCCCGTCACTCATTGGTTCCTTCCTACCCTCACTTTCTCCATCCCCCCCACTCCTCCCCAGCAAAGTGCGGGTGAGTGTTCCTCATGACTTATGACATATACACGATACAGTCCTCTTTTATTAAGATACCTCTTTTAACACGATACATTCCTCTTTTAACACGATACATCCGTCTTTTAACACGATACATCCGTCTTTTAACACGATACATTCGTCTTTTAACACGATACATTCGTCTTTTAACACGATACATTCGTCTTTTAACACGATACATTCGTCTTTTAACACGATACATTCGTCTTTTAACACGATACATTCGTCTTTTTAAAAACGATACATTCGTCTTTTAACACGATACATTCGTCTTTTAACACGATACATTCGTCTTTTAGCACGATACATTCCTCTTTTAACACGATACATACCTCTTTTAACACGATACATACCTCTTTTAACACGATACATTCCTCTTTTAACACGATACATACCTCTTTTAAACACGATTACATACCTCTTTTAACACGATACATTCGTCTTTTAACACGATACATACCTCTTTTAACACGATACATACCTCTTTTAACGCGATACATACCTCTTTAACACGATACATACCTCTTTTAACACGATACATACCTCTTTTAACACGATACATACCTCTTTTAACACGATACATACCTCTTTTAACACGATACATACCTCTTTTAACACGATACATACCTCTTTTAACACGATACATACCTCTTTTAACACGATACATACCTCTTTTAACACGATACATTCGTCTTTTAACACGATACATTCGTCTTTTAACACTTCTTTGCTTCATTCCTTTCCTAAATGTTTTGAATGTCTTAACTACGTCTTAAATTAATCGTATTGCAGTAAATTGTCTTACCTACATCTCAGAATTGTTTTACCTACGTCTTAACAAAGTCTTACTCCTTCCACGCAATTATTCTCTTTCTTCTAATCGTTGTAATTCTTATTAATGAATGTTCATATTTTTGTCTCCTGCCATCGTTTGCATTTACCCGAAAAGTTAGCAATTCATCCGTATATTTGTAAAATGTGTACCTAATAAAGTGGCCACTGTGTGGTGTGTGTGACCACTCAAGTATTTTTTCTGATTATTTTAATGTATTTTTCATGCATATAAAATACGACAACTTAAAAAAATGAGGAAAGAGCAGAGGTTAAATCCATTGATATGTACATGTAAACAGTACCGCCACTGACCGTCTCCGCTAATAACGTAAGCAACCATAACTGATTCAGAGTTAATGTGTCTGTCTCTCTCTCGCTCCCTAAGAAATTTATCGTCAGGTTATGGCTGAGACAAAAGTCAGCGTGATGACGGACACTGGTGTTCCCACCAAGTCTTTCAAGCAAAGTTCATCTTGTCCGGAGTTCACTTAACTCAAACAGCTCCGATGAATACTTTAAACTTCATTTGACTCGTTTTTTCGAGAGAGAGAGAGAGAGAGAGAGAGAGAGGGAGAGAGAGAGAGAGAGAGACTGAGACTGATTGACTGAGAATCTGACTGAATAAATATAAATTGATTGCATTGTTTTAGAAGTGAATATTGTTTTATTCAGTGTAAGATTGTGGAGAAAACTTGATTTCTTGTTAATTTTGGAAGAAATTGATGAAGACTCAGTTGGGGAGTACGCGCATATGTATGTATATATATACACACATGTATGTGTGTGTGCATACATACATCCTTATATTGCAGTAGAGGTGGACATATATATATATATATATATATATATATATATATATATTATATATATATATATATATATATATATATATATATATATATATATATGCACAAATTGCCACCTGGAGTCAGTAAAGCTTCGTATTTTGTCCGGTAGGCCTCCTGCAGTGGTCGCCTTTCTTGTGCACTAACTTGTTTACATATCTCGGGGTTTCCTTCCAACTAGCTTAGTATCTCCTAAAAAAAGTTTCCAGCTGAGCCGAAAATATTTGCACTGTATACATTAGATCAGTATTTTAAAACACTTCAGATATTGCTCATCTCTCGGGCCTTACTGAGACGCTGGATCTCTAGTAGCAGAAAATAATATTATTGTCTAACATATTTCTGCCTCACAATGAGACTATCTTCAGCGAATTAAAATAAAATGTGCACTAGAAGAGATAAACTTTATATACGAAGCCGGCGCAGAATTCTCAGAGATACCTATGAGAGGATCATCGTGCCACTAACTTTAACATCTCATAAGGTCAGTTGAAACCTGAAGCTGTCACAGTCTTAGATGTTATCCCATTTGTAAGGGATATATATCCGATAGGAATCTTGGTTGGTTGATGACCCAGTCAGTGATGTTGCTGACTCAGTGTCGGAGGTGCAGAAAAGAGTAACTGTTGGCTTGCGGTGGTAGACAGTGTTGTTTAATAAGAGAAATGCGAATGTGCAGGCAAGCTCGATATACAGTTGTAAGAGAAGGTACGATTGGATCCATGAGGCTGGGAGTGAATCTCGCAACGTGCAAGTTGAATGGTTGAAGTAGGAGAGAAGAATGGGATTAGTACTGTGGCGTGACATGGTACCAATGACCCATGCCCCATATCGGGGCATGATAAAGCAAACAAATGAGTATCCTGTTCTTGCTGTTTTCTTCGAGCATGTGACTTGATATTACATATTAAAATGAAGCTTTGATTCATTCCTGGTTTTGGTACCAAAAAAGTGTTTTACTCTGGAGACAGCACACACAGTCACCCACTATTTTTGTATTGCAATGAAAAAGACTTAAGACTGAAGAATATATATGTGAAACTGACATCGAGTCACTTATTTCATCGATATTTTTAAGAACTGTTCTTCCATAAACTTGTGATAGCGTCAGGTCTTCACTCTCCCTCTGACTTGTCAAAATTTTGGATGGGCTATGGGTGAAAGTAGGGATGAGTTATGGGTGGTTGTTGGAACGGGTTATGGTGAAAGTAGGAATGGGTTATGGGTGAAAGTTGGGATAGGTAATAGTTGAAAGTAGGGATGGATTATAATTTAAAGTTGGGATGGATTACGGGTGAAAGTTGGGATGGGTTATAATCTGATATTTCTTTTTCTTTATCCTACTATTTTTCT